TATCTGTCCTCTCCTCCTCAGCAACGCAGTGTTCTCCCTGACGCAGAATCACAGAACTGTAGGGGCTGAAAGGGACCTCTTGAGATGATCGAGTCCAACCCCTCTGCCAAAGCAGGCTCCGTAGAGCAGGTTGCACAGGTAGGCGTCCAGGCAGGTCTTGAGCATCTCCAGGCAAGGAGAGTCCACAGCCTACCTTGGCAGGAGTTCCAGTGCCCTGTCACCCTCACCGTGAAGACGTTGCTATGCATGTGTGTGCAGAACTTCCTATTTTGGCCGTTTCTCATTGTCCTATCTGCCTTCTCCCTCATGCTGAATTGGGAGAGTTTGAGGTCACAGGCTCACAGAGAGCCCATTAAAAGCACATTCATGTTTGTTGTCTTTCAGTGGAAACTTGAGCAAGTGAAATGATTGGCAGTAATTTGTAAAACTCCACCAGTCCCATTAGGATGTTAGGAGCAGCCTCCTCTCTTCTTAAATCACTCGTGTTCAATTCATTTCCAGTTTTCTCACCCAGACAAAACATTAAAAAACAGGAAACTTGAGTCTGAAAATAATTATATCTCCCACCAGCTCACAATTGGCATCAGCAATTTTAATTAAATGTGTGCAACATAATCTTTTGGAGTTGAGGTTGAACTGTTATCTCTAGGGTGTAGTGCCATGTAAACATCAGTAGTGAGAGCCGGAGGGAGTCCTAAATAGCTTGTTTGTACATGGGTGGAAAACAAGCTATTTCCAGACTTCAGATACTGTGAAACTGAATATCATAAACATACACTTTGGCGGTGATTCCAGTCACTCTGCCCTTGTATGATTGATATTGCACAGCTATTCTCAGTCCTTTTCATAATTTGCTTGTTGGACTTAGGTCTCCAGAATTAGGAGTCTCCTCGTCAAGTGTAGACATCTGCAGAGTAAATGTTGACATACAAATTAGTCATTCTTGGTTGCCTTAATCAACAAAAAGCAGAGATTGATAAGGGATGATGATATCTTCCATTAAAGTCATATAAAATCAATCAGATATGACATATCATACACATTTCTTGGTATTTACAGTGGAGATATTAACAGTTATTGTCATCACAACTATCAGCAGATGTTCTCAGATATCCTTTTACTTTTTTGCAGTCTTGTGGCCTGATCTGCTCAACAAGGTCTGAATATTCTCTCCAGACACATATCACATACCTGGTATGGTGGAAGAAGGAAAAGCATCACCTCTTTTGCAATGCTATGGACTTGATGACTGCTGCAATATGTAACAAGACCTTCAATAGAATTACTGGATTTGAACTTCTACAGTTTTATATCTTCTATTCCCCCTGAAATTTCTACACAGTAAGACTGAAGTAGGTGTAGAAGTCTCACCAGATCAGAACTTTTCAACTACATCATTGGTTGCATCTCATGTCAGAGTGAGTGGAATCAGTGCCTTAGTATCAGAATTCTCAGAAGAATAGATAAAATAGAATATCTATCTAATAGAAGAAGGAAAAGTATTGTTTTCCTTCTTCAATCTTAGAAAAATATGTGATTCCTCTTAAAGTGCTTTTAAGTCCTCTTCAGTAGCTTAGCCTTATCAAAATTCTTTAAAGTTATTTAGAGATTTGTCACTTTTTAAAAAGAAATGTAGGAAAAGACCTTTGTAACTCTTTAATGTTTTGTGCTAGTGGAAGGAGATGGATTGGTGAGCTAAGAGAGTGAATCTTCTTTTTAGCCCTAAGGAAAGTCTGGCAGCAACACATGCTCCTCTGAAGGATGGTGATAGTTTGCCTTTGCTCTAACCTAACAGATCGGTTCAGGTTCTGAGCTCAGCTGCACTAATAATAATACATATTTGCATCTGGGAATACTTGGAATACACATTGCTGCAATTTTGAAACCACTATCAGTGCAGAGCTAAACAAATTTATTAGGAAGATTTTGAACTTAGGAAAATATTTTCCTATTGAGGATCAAACCTTGGAGAAAGTTGCCCAGAGATGTTACGCTGCCTCAGCACTGGGGATATTCAAAGCTTAGCAGGGCTAACCTGAGCAATCTCTCTAATTCTTCCAAGTTGGATGTCCCTTCAAAGCTGGACTTGCTTTAAATGGAGGTCTGAGGCATGTGACCTTCAATTGTTCCTTCCAATCTAAATTATCCTATCATTCCTATTTACTAGTTTCAGCTTGCCTGACCTTACATTCGACACAATTGTTATGAAATCAATAAGTTATTTGCGATCTGTGACATTCATCTCATTTAGAAAAGGAAATGATTCCAAACTTCTATTTATAATCTCATTGGTGACTTCTGATATATTCCAGCTGAAGTTTAACAGCCAGTTGCATACCAATCGCATATTTATTGTAGCAATTGTCATTAATCCATGTTCACAACAAATATCTGCCATTCTTTTCCTGCTTTTAGAATAAGTGTATAGGCTACATTCTGCCAACTGAGAGCTGCAGGAGCTTCCCTCTGCTGTAATCATCCAATTGTGGATGAAGATCTACTTGCATATTGAGATGGCAGAAGAACGCTGTGGCTTCTACATCAGATTAAGGAATATTTGCTCTTCATCCTGACATAGTACCAGGGCAGAAATTGATATAGAATTACTAAGGGACAGCAAGGGACAGGTACTGCTCCTTCTTCACCTCACCCAATGCTTACAACCACTTGTATAAAATTGTATTCCTCTCCTTAGGCTCTGTTCTTAAATGCACTAAGACAAATTCAACTTTGGACATATACATTCAACTCCCAGGATAGTCCCCATGTGAAATTCAGCAGTAAGAATTAGTTAAGACTAATTTTGCATGTGAGGTCCTTAGACAATCCAGCAAGTCCGTACTGATTTTGAATTTAGCAGATATTTAATATGATACACCACGAGTGTAGAAGGATTGGAGATGCAGAATGAAAAGCAAGAAATATAACAATGAATGGCAAAGCAGTCTTGGCACGAGCTTAGAGTACACTTAATTTGCAGACAGGTGATATTTAATTTGTAAATAAGTGTAAATATTAATGTTAACAACTGCACTTGGTTGTATCAGAGCTGAAATTATTTTAGAAACAGATAAATATGTATAACATTCACTTCATGATTAAGATAGCTGAATGTAGATGTTTGTAGAAAAATTATGTATCTGAGGTTTTTTCATGCTCTGTGAAGATCGAGTCAATGGAGTTGTGAAAATAAATTACCTGAACAGACTCAAAAGCACAGTTCATTTACTGTGCCTGTTACAATTTGAGATGCCTTAGGCTATTTGATTCATCTTCATAGTGCCCTTAGATCTGATCCAGGATCTACAGCAAACTCATAATTTGTTGGACTCCCAGTAGGACACCAGATAGGATACTCAAAGGCATCTCAGGTGATCCTAATTGCCTAGGTTTATGCAGTAAAAGTAAGACTTCAGTTGATCAGATCACTCTTTTGATAAGAAAATTCATTCAGCCACATGTGGCTATCCTATGCTTTTTTTCTGATTCTCTTCAATGGCTGAGGCATCTTTGGGACTGACTGATATGACTCAGAGCTAGTGGGACTCTTACTGGACCTGTAGCTGGAGGCCAAGCAGAATGGTATGTCAAAGAGATTGGATCAAGTTCTGCTGTGTGTATTCTTTCTGAGGACAAATATTGGAAAAGATGTGGATGATACTTGAGTAAATACCTCAACATGAATAGCATCATTTATTCAGTAGCCTCCTTTATTCATTTTTTCTCACTTTGAGCCAGTGATTGCCACAGAAGCTGAAGAAAAAGCAAAACAGAAGCATGGAAAAGAGCTGATGTTGTTGTGCCAGGAGGACAGGATGCAGCCCAGCTGCCAACAGAAGTTGCATCATGGCTTCTTGCTGCCTTGTAGCAGCCCTGATCTAATGACAAAGCCTTAGATTCTCATACCCATTGTACTAGAAACCATAACCTTCTTGAACCTGACCTGAGGGTGAGTCCTCACACAGGTCATATTTCCTGCCTGTAGAAGGGAGGAGGTTATCTTCTGTCACAGATGCTCAAATATTTTAGCAGGGAGAAACACAAATGTCTTAGCAGGGAGGAGTGAGTAATGTGTATCTCTGGAGAAGGGTGAAATGCAAAAGAAAAAAATTCTGAGAGATAGCTGAGATAGATATGTGAAAATGGTCATAGGAGTCATTAAAAGTTACCCCTTTGAATAAGATAATAGAGTAAGCTACTATGGCGAGGGTGGAACGATACTCCCCAGATTATATATAGTCTGTTCTCTGCTGTACCATCTTCCTGTCTAGTTCTCTTTTTTAACTTTACTATTTTATTTTAAATTCACGACCATGGCATTTTATTACAGGCATCACAGTCTTCCTTCACCACATCTAACCAAGCTTTCTTTGAGCAAAGCATTCCCTGGCCAAGGACAAGGCTTGGAAGTGGTAAGGAGATGGAACTCTTGTGGCTGTTGGCCATGTGCTCCACGCTACCCTATGGCTGTGATGCTCAGTGGCAACACTGGTCTTGCTGCTCCATCAAGAATCCTTTCCATAGGAGTCCTTGGAACTAACTTGGTAGTTACTGACATCTTAAAGGACTGCAGGGTTTGGCTGTCAAGTGGAAACCCATTTAGGCTCCATGGGGTGACATTCAAAAGTGCTGTGATGTGCCATTTGCTGAAAACGTGAAATAAAGATAATACATCATAGAGACAGAGCAGGAGGAAAGAGAAGTAAAACAGGAAGACAGTAAAATATCCCAGGACAGCAATGGCACTGCTCACAGTCCTGAGTGAAGGAAGGCTGAAGACAGACTCCTGGAAAAATAGACAGGCACAATAGAACAGAGTAGACAGCATTCCTTATATTCAGTCTTCCAGTCTGTTCAGCCTCAAATCAGTAAATCAGTTACTTTACAACATTACACAAAATCAAAAGAAGCCTATTATACTTTTAACAAAAAGACTTTTTTTTTTTTTTTTTTTTTTTTTTTAATTGAGTTGTAAAAAGAAGTATGAGAGAGCTCACAGCTTTACTCAAACAGGAATGTCAGACAAGTCACCATTCTGGCCACAGACACAAACAGTTCATAGTAACTCATGAATGAGATAAACATACCAGTAAAACAAAGATATTCACTAGGTTGAGTCACAGCCATTCACTGTACAGTTAGATGCTCTTTCCCTCTGAAACACCTGCACACTTTATAGTCATTACGCCTTAGGGGTAAGCATCACCTTATTTTCACCTTTGCCTACACTGTAAGAACTGCTCACCCTCAGCCTAGATTACAGTTAGTGGAAAGATACAGGTTTTTTGTGCTATGATTCAGCAGTTTGGTGTTTTAATGCCAGCTTTAAGATGAGATCATTCAATTTCATTTATTGTTTCTCTCTGATAACTGTAAAGGGTGTCTGGAGTATTTGAGGTAGAGAAATTCATATCTATATTGTTGATACTTGAACTGAAGCTAACTCTTTACTGTTTCATGCCTGTCTGTATTAGATAGGATGAATCTCATCTTCATAGTGCTTTTTTTATTTGTCCTTTGCTGGAGTTGGTGAGTGCTGCCCATCATTTGGTACCATTAGGCTTCGCTCTTAGCCTGCATTCTTTTTTGTGAGGGCCTGAAGGCCTGGGACCCAAGAGGAGAACCAGCAACAGAGGCTGAGAGAATTTAAGCTATCCGAATATGACCACTTGTGGGTATTAGAAGTTGTGATTAATCCAAATCTAATCTGACCTTTAGTCTGGACTCTGACTGGAACTGCTGCCCTGGTGCTAAGAGCTTGGATTTTCAGACCACCACAGTGTCTCGCACAGCCAAGGGGAATGGCCGTCACATGAGAGGAGTGATGGATGCGCCTTCTCCCATAGAGACTGAATTTGATTCAAATGGTGCTTAGTAGCCTTTCCCTGATGTCACTGGAAGGATGTATGATGAAGGCTCAGGTTGACAGGCACTGAGAAAAGTCTACATACCAAGTCAATTTGAAAGATTACTTCCCTGCTCCCTAGTACGACATCTTTTGAACTCCCCAGGGAACAAACACCATCACTAAATGCTTCTGTAACCTATCAGTATCAGTGACTACTACTAAAATACCTAGTGAATAAACACTGCAATACTCTGACATTTTAGAGTCCTGTCTCTCTAAAGGCTTCAGAGTTCTTCACAGACGTGCACTCAGACCATATTAGATAAGGTCCTGCATCCTGCAGTAATTAATGAACCACTCTGTTCAATTTCCCAGGTGACACCCCTACTTGTCCCTAACGATCAGAAAACAACTCAAGTTCTGGCGATATTATAAGAACGTTTGTTGTTTTATTCTTTTTGGTGGGTACAAAAACCACAGTTTCTTACACAGAACAAGATTATAAATAATATCTGTAACATGAGTGACCCGTAGTCTCTTTTGATTCTACACTGCAGACTGACGATGTATTCTAAACATTTTTTTCATTTTCTTTCTTGTATTAGACGGATGCAAATCTGTGGAACACAGAATGATGGAACAGAATGAAGGTAACAGCAAACAAGAGGATGACCAACAACTTTTATAAAAAAAAAGTCTCTGAATTTTATTACAGTGATGGCATTTTATATCAATTATTGCAATGAATTGTTCCCTAAGATGGTTAGAAAAAAGAATTGTGTTGTCCTCTACCGAATTTACATCAGTTAAAAAGCAAGCATGTTTCAATATTCCTCTTTTTTCAAAGAAAATGTAAATAATTTCTTTATTTTTTTTCACAGGATTTACATATTTATTATTTTCTTATCACAGTTTAGTGATTCATTTCTACAGCTGAACAGCTGAATATTCTTCCATTGTATATATTGATGTTCTGGAGACACAGGTTAGCATGTTCATTGACTTCTATAGCTATTTTTCTCTCTTTGTCAAGACAAAGACCAAAATGTTCTCTTTTCTGAGCATGTTCTTCACAGTTTAATGCGCTAAATTGGAAAGTCTTATTAGTTTTTAGTCCACTCAAGTGAAATTTGTTGCTGTTAATACACCCTTCCCAGCCCCCTCCCCCCAACAAAACTAAATTATGAATTTTCCTGATATAAAATCTGAGTTTGGGTTTCCGAGCTGAGCTCATGCACACATTGTTGCTGATGATTACCGGCGCATTTGGACGTACTTCCCTTTCTCAGCCAAATTATTAGTTCATCAATGACACTCCCATGTCGTTACAGTCTGTGCTGTGTTCCCATCAGTCACCAACACAGTTTAATTAAGGCACTCAATTATTTTTTTGGTTTTTATGGTAGGTCCGATGCAATTACAGCCAATCCTGAACTTTGTCTAATTGCAGTTCCGGAATGCACAGCCTTCGGGCAGTCGGGAGTCAATACGCGGCCATTTTCACCCACACTCCCCGTGATGGATAATCTGGCTTTGTTTCTTATGGCTTCAGAAAAGGTAAGCTATGATAAAAAATAAAGGAGAAGAGAAAAAAAAGTGTTAGAAAGGTTCTACCCTTCAAGAAACCAGAACACAGCAAACACCAAAATATTAAATTTTAGACATCTGCATTTTTTTTTCATTTTAACATTATAGTTAATCATATATATAAAATACATAGCATACTAGGGGAAAAAGGTTCAAAATTCTGAAGTTAAATTTTATTACAATAAATCATCATCCATTTAAATATAAATTCCAAATTTGAACAGGAAATCAACAGAAGAAGGAATACTTTCATGTAAAGTACTTCAAACTACATTCATATATTGTGAAATGAGAGTCAAGACCTTTCATGAACCTGAAAGTATTAGCACCTTTGAATAAAGTCATGCATGAGTACTTCTAGACTGAGACCTTCAACAAGGTATTTCAAGGTAAAAAATAACTACTGAAAATTGCTTATATATCGGTATAGCTCTTTCAATTATCTTTGTGATAATTCCATGGATCAAACTAAAGAAATTATTATTTCTACTCATAGTGCATCCATTCACAAAACTCTTTTCGTATATGCATTTTGCTGTAATCAGGGAAGGTAAAAACGTTCAAAGGAAATACCATTCACTGAGAAAACACATTTTCTATAGTTTTTCTACATTAGAACTAAATTTTCCACAAGAGGATTTTAAATCCTGCTACCTCAAAATCATTACCTTCAGTGAAGTCAAACAAAATATCTTATTTAGAGACTGATTGCCTCAAACAGAAGAAAAAACATTTATAGTTATTCCATCTAACTTCAGCCATTCGAAAATAAGGAATCTAATCTAAGAGGGCTCTCTTGTAATGATAGAAAAAGCCAAAGTGCACCTGGCACAGCAGGCACCTGAACTACACTGTATTGAAACAGATTTCAAAGACACTGCGTTAAGATAATAATTAGTGAGTAATTCTCATTTCTAGCCAACAGAAACCATGCTCTATGCAACTAACTCTTATAATTAATGTGCAGGGATGCAATCTGGAATACTGACTGGAAAAAATGGGATGCAGGAGAGTGCATTCACATAGGAGCAAAGGGATGACAAGCATAAAATCATTTTATTTGCCTTGTTACTGATCTCTGCAATTAGAGCTTTGTCCCTCTGAGCCCAGTTTCTCCTTTCAAGGTAGCAATTAAATCCTAAGCTGAGATAAGGGAGATTCCCTTAAAACTTCCATTCTCTGGGTGCACCTCTAAGAAATGCACCTGCCTCATATTGCATTGCTGTTACTAACTCCTTCAAAGAAGAATTCTTCCAAGTATAGCTGCCCTTATGGCACAGTAGGATATGTATAAGAGCAACTTCCCAAATCAATCATTGTAAAATTCTCAGGGGGTAAGGCCCCGTTTACAAAGGGTGTTACAGCATTCTCCTCAAGCTGAAAACCTTGGCTTTGTTAACCACCAATTGCAACATCCAAAGTAACCCTTTGAAAAGTCCCCCTGCTGCTGCAGTACTCTGTGGCAGTGACTGTTACCCAGCGGATCTTATCCTAATTCAACAGCTAGATATAAGAATAGAGAAATAGATAACGAGTGAGTGAGGATCTGGGCCCACACAGAGTTCTACTGAATACAGAAGACTTCAGCTACACCCAGCAGCAAATAAAAAAACTACATTTACACAGATACAATGCAATGTGGTGGAACTCCACATGGTGCATGTCCTGTTGCAAATGTGCATCAAGGATTGTCTGTCTGCAGAAATGCACAGAACATGTTTTGGTCAATGGCAAGAAAAGGTCTTTAGCTGAGTTCTGGGTAGGGATGGGAGAGCAGATCAGATCAGAATGCAGACTGGCTTGGAAACAGGACAGTCTACTCCAGATTTGGTAAATTTCCCAGCAGATTGTCATTGTGTACAGCATCTCTCCATCCCTTTGCCACTGGAAAATCAGAGCTCATGTTTACAGGGGATTTAGGGGACACAGTGATCTATGTAAAAGTTTATGTTTTTCTAGGTCTGTGGTTTTCTGGCCATTGACAACATGCGCAGGACAGAAAAACACTGAAAAAAGGATCTACCAAAAAAAAAAAAAAGAAAAAGCAAATGAGAAAAAACAATCTCTCAGCAGCCTTCCATGGAACAACAGAAAAAGCTGCAGTAAGGCAACTCCCCTCTGCTCACAGCACAGGGTAACAACAATTCAGCAGCACACTGCAGGAAACAACCGAGACAGTCGACAAAGCCAGAGGAGCAGGTCAAACTTGTACTCAGGAAGTTGCCATAAAGTAAACTAACCAAATATGTGTCTGTGCTTTATTTCAAACTAAGCTGTGGGTAATGAGCCAGGCTAATACTGTGCTTGATTGTGCTACTACAATTTCAGATTTATGGCCTGGCTTTAAAAACGGTTTCAGGAGAGGCTGGGATAAGAAGGAAAACTCTTGGTATTTGGTAAGAATGTTAGGAAGTCGCTGTTCAGTAAGTGTACTCAGTTAGTAGTGTTAGTTTCAAATTCAGCAGTAGTTAATTTTCATATTAATGTCATTAGTTTTGATTAAACTAGTTGTTCACTTAATCACGTGAAAATGTGATTCTCTTCCCAGCCTCTTCCCAGTAGGAAATAGGAATGTAGGAAGCTGATCTACTCAGTCTATGTAATGTAAGTACCCAGTTGCTGGGTCTCTGCTGTTTAGACGTCTCTAGCACCTAGGTCACCTGGGAATGTCTTTGCACAGATACTTGAAGATGAACTTTCAAATACTTTTACTATATGGAAAATGAAATTGGAAGTATGTAAGTCAAGATAAATACATTACAGATTTACTGAGTTGTCTTTTACAATTTGGCCTTGTTAGTCATTCATTTTGTAATTTCATGTAAATATTATATATATATATTCGTAAATTTTGTAGTTAATTTGGTCAGTTATAACCAGCACAAGGTGGGAGCGCAAGCAAATGCAGTGGAGCTGGGAGCTGGCTGGTGAGTCTCATGGCCCACGATGAGGACTGTGGTGGTGGTGGTGGCTGGGAAGATGCCTCTGGGACAACCCCTTTGTCACTCATGGGTTTGATGGGAGGAACCCAGCAGTAGTTTTCTCTGAGCAGCTGGAGAGAAGTGTTGGCTCCGTATTTCCTCCAGACTATCAAGTTGACTGGCTTATGAATAAATGAAAATGGAACAGTGCTGCTCAGGGAAAGGGAAGGGATTGCTCCCACTTCAGAGCACACTTCCTTCCCTGCCAAGGGCAGATGCAATAGTCTGTCATCCCTTCTGAACATCTTTACCACACGTCTTACGTTTCCATTTTCTGCTGCCTTGCAGACTGGTGAATTTCCCTGTGGCTACTCGTTTCTTACTGGATTCAATTAGAAGAAAAAAATAGTAATAAATGTTAATTTCCAAGTGGGTTATTTAAGCTGTTTTCTATAAGTTTAACACATAAATAATTAAAACTATTTGATGTCAGCTTAAAAATAAGCATGTGGGTTACTCATGCAGGTTAGAACTGTCAAGCATCTTTCTGTATTAGCAAGTTTTAGTTCCAATACAATCCCTTTACACCTCAGATAAATGAACACATCTGAGGTTTTGAGGTGCTAAATGTAGACATATGTCTGTAGAAATACATGTGTGCAGCACTGTGACTCTGTGCTGCTGTGGGCAGGCAGAGGTCTATAAGCAGTGTGGGCAGGAGAGGGCACATGGGTGGAACCACACTGCTGGTGAGTGTGACCTCACCTCAGCAGGCTGCCTCCGACAAGCATAAGCTCTTCTATGTCAGGTTCATGTGCTAACATTTCTCTGGTAACTAGTACAGCAAACAAGATAAGGAGAATTTCTGGGTCAATAAATATCTGCTCAAAAATCCAAAGCAATTTCTATTTTTTTTTTTGAAATTTTTTAAATGCCTCTATCCTGAAATGTTTTTTTAAATGTTATCAGAAGTTACCACTGAAGCAAAGATGAATTTACAATAAAACAAAATGCTGGCTTTAAAAAATTAGTTGTCAATATGGACTAGATTTGCTTACAAAAAGGCACTTATCATTGGAACTTCTTGACATATGCACACACTGTTCTATGCATTGGGCTAGGGATGCTCTCAGTGATGGGCACTAAAGAATTCTATGGAAAGGATTTTTTTTTTTTTTCTTTTTTTTTTTTCAATTACTTTCATGGGATTATTTCATGGCATGACTCATAGAATGACTTAGTTGGAAGAGGCCTTAAAGCCCATCCATTTCCAATGTAGTTGCCATGGGCAGGGTTGCCAATTGCTAAATCAAGCACTAGATCAGGCTGCCCAGCGTCCCACCCAACCTAGCCTTGAACAACTCCAGGGATGGGGCATCCACTGCTTCTATGGTCAGCCTGTGCCGGGGCTTCACTTCTTTTTAAGACCTTTGTTACAGAGAACAGACAGTGAGCTTGGGATATTGTCACAGTAGTGACCACTGACCTGTACCCCCGGAGCCATGATGACACCTGCTTAGCTGGGTAATCCATCAGCAAACTGATGCTTTGCTGTGCACAAATCAGGCACAGTAGGATATCAGGTTCCATGACAATGCACATGTACCCAGGGCCATGAGTTGTATACAACAGAGAAACAAAGAAAACTGCACCACAACATTTTTGAGAAACTCCCCAGCCAGCGCATGCCAAGCCCCCCCTTACCGTGAGAACCCACCTATTCCTTGCAGCGCTCCAGCTACCATGCTCAAGCACCATGCTCTGCTCACTCTGTGTCTGCTCTGTACTGTATGGTTCGGTACTGTACCGGCTGTGTCTTTAGCCTGTATGCTCCTCGGGACAGGGACCTGTTATGTGCTTGGCACACTTCACCTATAGTACAGCGCCGTGTACTCCAGCGCTATATGAATAATAAATAAAAAATAATAATCTCATCTCCAGTTGTTTCCTCTGAGTTTTTTTTCTACGTGGCAACATAACATTTCTATTCATCTCGTTTCACTTCATTTTTGTTTGTTACTTCCTCTACAGGGATAGCTCAGTGATTTCAGGAGGACGTAGGTGTTTGTTAGAAGAGACAGAGATTGCTGTGTGCAAAAGAAGGGGACTCAAAGTAGCAATGAGATGGCAGTGTCCTGGCAGCACCTCTGTTACAAAGCAGCCAGAATAGCTTGTAAGCTATGGAAGAGTTATGTTTAGAAGCTGCGTGCCATTTCCAAAGGTCAGGGAGCTGATTTGACTATTTTACTAATGATTAGTTGGCAAGATAATCACCACATGGATAAGATCAAATGCATTAGTAAACTATTCCTGCATGCTTTCTAAGGGGAAGTATGCAGGATGCTGCTCAGCAATTATCAGCATTTCAGTCTGAAACCACTGCATGAGCATCTGAAAACTGAGTCCAGAGCAAGGAAAAGGGCATATGTTACTGAAGATTGAGGACAGTAGTCCAAGTCTGTTCAGTGGTTAGTGAATTTTGTTGGTTATTATAGTGGGCAAAGCTTGACCTGAAGCAGGATATTGTGGGGGGGAGAAAAAAAAAAGCCACACAATTAGCATAAAACGTGTACTGAAAGGAGGGTGAAGGAGAAGGGTGGTGAGGAGGAGGAGAAGGTAAAACAACATTTAGACTTCTTGTAACAGTGCCTTGTCTTCCATTAGGTTAACTATGGTTCAGTGACGTTGCCTATCCTAAATCCTCATTGTAAGGAAGATCCAGTTAGGGCCAACAGAGAATAATAAAAGCTTACATCAATTTGTCACCAGTATAGTGCCAACCTTTAGGAGGACAGACTGGCCAATCAAGTAATTAAACACTGGCCCTCTGGATATGTATTTTAGGACCTCAATTTCAAATAGCTGTCATCTCCCAACAGATTGAATAACTTTGGGCCGTTATAAAAGTAATTTTTGTCTTAAAAATTTCTTGTAATGCAGATGTCTATTAGCAACATAGAATAGTATACTGTACATCTGCAGCCAAAAAAACTGAACCACTTTGCACTGAAGTTTTCCAAAATATAAAGCTCTGTTTAGAAGCAAGCACCACTAGACAGACATGTCACAACACTGCAGTACAAGATGCATCACCCACTCACTGTAGTAGGCCCTAAGTCCTACCCCTAAATTTTAATACTTTCGGTTCCATATACGTTGTAACCTTCTCTATAAGTTGCTAAATTCTGGGTATTCTGCGAGGAAGTTGGGTTAAAAGTCTGTGCACTCTTTGCCACCTTCATTCGCTTCGCCTCTGCCCTGGACTTGTAACAGAACTCTATCAAAGCCACCAGCATTGCCAAGCCCAAGCCTCCAACCAGAATGTAGAAGACTCCAGCAACGTTGCTGAGACTCAAGGCACTCGTCTTGTCCTGGGGAAACAGAAGCAACACAGTTAACTCCAGCATCCAGACCTCTGCAGCACAAGGTACACATTAAAGCACTGGAAATAGAAATAAACAACAATGTTTAGCTGAAATTAAGTGACCATCGTTTACATGCCTCTCACAAAACTTCTCCTATCGGGATCTACAGAATGCATATTAAGCACCTGCTTTTCCCGGTCGACATAGAAGTATCATAAATTTACTGCCAGTATATCAGGATGCCATTGTTTACTTATTGCCAAGGATTATTTCCACTAGCTGGAGAATTAAACAATGACACATCCAGTCCTCACTAGGGCACATTTTAACACTGGCATCAAACTGCATTTACACAAAGCTCTTTAAAAGCTTTGGAATCCAGAAATCCATTTACATTAAACAAGATTCTCCTTGATCTTCAATATAAAACAATTTTCACTTCTGATAAGCATTGCTGTTATTTTAAAAGATCCAGACTGACTTTCTGCTAAAAGGTAAAAATAACAAGTGAGGCTTAAGTTATTGGAACAAACACTTCTTGAAAGTGCACACTGTGCCATACACATCATCATATATTTGCCTCTTACTGTTTATTGTATTTTGTTTCTACTTTATTCTAGATACAGATCTGGTACATGCCCATGGACTACTAAGGCTCTGCAGTTATACAGTTATATAAAAAGTGATATATTAAACTTTACACAATATTTATAATTTAGAAAACTATTACAACATTCTTTAGCAAATTAATAAATATGCAACATCTGATAAACAATCACCGTTTTAGACTTACTGTTGTAAATAATTATTCTACATTTCTCTATACTTCACTGCTTAGTTCACATATGTTATGATTTGAAATCCATGTGCATTTTATAGCACAGTTCTCAAGGAACTCTCTCAGGATTGACTCCCATATACTACATTGTGTGCCTTAAGATATTTATAAAGCTATATTCTTATGCAGACTATATAATCTTTACCTAAAGTAAGGAGAGTACTTAACTTCCAATTATAATTTGTATGAAAAATTAACTTATTCTCAATATTTGGGTTTAATTTAAAGAGGCACTATTAGCTGTGCAGTCAGGAGACCAGCACAGTAGTAATTCCCATGGATGTAAAGAGGTGTTGCTGGGGTTCTGTTTTGTCTGGCTCTTTTTAGCTGTATAGGAGGATTCTGAATGCCTTGTACATGACTTAGTTCTTCTGGTAATAATTGTTAATATGGTGCTTGGGAACAGGGAGCAGGCAGGGCCTGACAGGGAAGAATCTGATCCAATGGACACAGTGCATCGAGGCTTTCCCAGCCATGCTCTATGGGTACCTTGCCATCCTCTTTAAGGTTTTTACTCTTTCCTCCAAACCACTTGCAAGAAAAAGCAAAATGTGTAGGGCATGGACAGTGAGCAGTCATGGCCCTCAGGCTGTCCTCCCAGCTCTGAGCATCACAAAGACATGTCTGACTCCAGCACACAGAGCTGATACTGCCTGTGGTGCACCAGAAAAAACACCTGTTTGTGGGCTTAACCCCAGGGGAAATATCAGTCTACACTCCCCAAAGCTGCAAGGATTACTCTGGGAATGGACTAAGGTAAATTTAAGAAGCAATAGAATGCAGTGAATTACTGAAGACTTTCACTCCAAAGCTCAAGTTAGGACTTCCTTGGTTCCTCAAGGAGCCAGAGACCTCCCTAATAGGATCCAGGCACAGCTATCCTCTACACAGAGAACTAATGAAATCTTAGTGCTTCCTCCTGTCTGAAAATAGGAAAACAGCCAGCTTTGAAAGGAGAAGACATGGATGAAGCCAGGCCACACAGCTTCTGGGCAGCAGAGGGGGACAGAGCATCCTCTTAGGCAGGATGGAAAAATACAACTCAATCTACCTCCCTCAAAAAAAACCCTGCCTTATAACTCTTCAGTGGCTGCCCCGATAAGATAGGAGAGTATGAGGTGATTTGGGGTGATTTATATTGCTGAATACTTCAAAAAACAATAGTGCTTCTTTAAACTAAACCATGACCCCCATCAAGATGAGGCCAAGCCAATTTGCTCTGTGAGTGTCTACAGCTGCTTATTTTACTTCTAAGTAATTTTGTTCATTACTCCCTTTACTGCTTTGTGAACACGATAGTAGGTCCCGAACTGCAGCGACTGACCTTACTTCCAGAGTCCTTGGGTCCACATTCACCTTTATCGTACCACCATTTGTTTTTCAGCTTGTCTAAGACGCCTGCCTCACTGAGTTTCAAAACGGCAAGGTTTACAGGAGTTCTTCACGTGGAAAATAACATAAATAACATTATATATGTTATTTTATGTTATTCAAGTAAAACTACATAGAATCGCATTGCAAAGTGACAGAGCAGAGGCCACAGTGGGTGCTATGTCATGTACTGTTGGCCCAGGTTTAGAGACAGACATACGACCGGGACCTGCTCCATCGCTTTAGGTAACAGGCACATACTGCTGGGGAAGATTTGTAAATAAATGGTATGCAATTACTGTGAACCCAAAACTATTGGCTTAAACACATTAACAACATAGCCTCCAGAGACATAATACAATACAATTGCATATATGACTTAAGAAGCATTCTGCGTTCCTTGCTCTTGATCCATTTGTGGTTTGCAAGCATACAAACTAATGACATGACTTGGCCATAGCTATTTCATTTACTGCCCTCAAAATGAAGCTGGCAAGAGAAGGAGCAGCTCCTGCCGGCTGCCACCGCAGCCCCTGGCATGGACCTGCCCTCATTCTGAGTGCCTGTGCCTCTGCTGAGATCACCTCTACCAGGATTGCATTTCCGTATCCTATATTCCAACATTTTTTTCAATTTCTAGACTTTTCTTTCAATCTCACTTATTCAAAAAAGTACTTGAGGGGTCCCAGATTGATTATTAATCACTGCTCGGGGTGTCTTCTCTTTCTTGAGGCATTTGCTGTGGATGACACAATGGAATTCAATATTAAGATGAAACCTAATCTTATGCCTCAAAGCCATGAACTGCTCTGATGATGCCCAATTCATGTAGTTGAAGCAGTTTATTTTCTCAAGACCTATCAAATGATTAAGCCTTATTTTCCATACTTTCTGTTTTTAAACATTGACTGTTTAATTCTTAACGTGATAGGCATATAGTTATCTATTTATGTGCAGGTGTGCATGCAAATACAGTATATATAAGAGAAGGAGGCAGATAAACAGAAGCAGCATGTGATAGATAGGCTGCTGGTGATAACGGATGACACAGAGACTGATCTTGTGTGTGCCAGCAGATTCCTGTGGTACCATTAATCTCTCATAATGCACCATAATCCATACCCTGCTAAAATGTCAACTCATGAATTCAGAACTTAAAATAAAAATAGACAACATGGTGCAAACATTAATTGTTACAGAACAATTGAGTTGACTAAAGCAGATATTAGAAAGAGAAAAGGGGCTCATACTTACACTCTATAACTGGTTATTCTATATGGAAAGCCCCAATAGTTTTTATATACATATATTTGTGTATATATTAACATACATATATGAAACATCCTGAAACTTGTTTGCAACTATTAGCTTAAGGGATCCTGGCTTTCAACATTTTCTGGTTACTCTTTGTATACATTTGCATACAGTGTGAGATTCACCTCACTTCAGCATTCCAACCAGAAAGTTATGCCTGTCCAGGCTTCTCTCTAGTTAAAAGAAAAAGATGGGTTGAGCTACCAGTTTTAAGAGAGGTTGAAGCATACCATCCAGATTTACTATTGAGGAGGACTCCGTTTTGCATCAAAATGACAATTTCTGACAGTTACAGCTGGGTGAGAAAATCCCAAGGAACTTTCAAGTGATCTCTTTAAATAAAGGAAATGCTTTAGCCACTTTCCAAATCTCACACACTTAGGTCATATGGAACAGGGTGCTGCTAGCACGGATTTCTCAATCTTTTTCAGTATTCAAACTTACATTTTGCCTTCAGGCTCCTTGGCATCAGGTTGTGCAGGCTGAAAGTGGGATGTGCAAGTCCCTGAGGGAAAGAAGCGGGCAGCAGCTTGAGATGCTGGCATGTTGCCTGGCCATATGATCCTCCGTTTGCTTTGAATATAAGTGTGAAATAATTAATATTATCTGGATAGCCTTCATCTGTGACTTGCCATGCACTGGCACTGAGAGGCATTTCAGTGCTCCCAAATCCCAGCTGTGTAACGGGACTGTTGTGACAAGGGCTGGGGACATCTAGGTACTGTTCTTACACAGATGATCAGAAGTTTGTGAAGCTATTGCGGACTAAACTGATTAAAGTGGTGCAACAATAAGGGCTCTGTATAAACTATCGAGACCAGCAGCAAGCTTGGACAAGTTAAAAAACAGATGTTTCCCAGCCATTTCTTTTTCCCAGCACAAACAGTTCAGGTATATATAACCTGATACAGGCAGGGATTTTTTCTTTGCCACTGTAATTCTTTTAGTGCCAGCCTTTCTGCACTGTCTCTGCAAAGAAGCTCTTTGGGAAGAGCAATCAATTTCATGCTTAAAATCACCGTACTATCATCAATAAATAACTGAATGCAATGGTGAGCACAGATGAGGCAATTCATTCCTACTCTTCCCTGAAATACAGCCAGTCATGTCTCAGAGGCCAAGCCCTTGTTCTTCCTTTCCACTATTTTTGCTGAAACTCATCCTGAATCCCAGAGTAAATCAGGAACATGCGATAGGACAAGTTCATACTCAACCCAGTAGTGAAGCCCAGTTGAGTGGCTGCAGATTTGGAAATGAAAATTTCAGCTTATGGTTTTCAGAACACCAGCATATATATCTGCTTGCAGTCACAGGAAGAGATTGCCAGTGTGGTGACTTCTGGTGTATTTTAAGCTGTTTTTCTTGGTTTTAAACTTTAGTAGGAGATTTTCAGCAGCTGCCATGGGAGATGAATGCCCAAATCACCTTGGCTTTCAGGGCAAGTTGACTATTTAAGACATCTTTCCTTCTTAGAAAACCTTTTCTTCAAATAAGCATCATTTTGATTATGCCAGTTGTGCACTACAATGTGTTACTACAGTGCTCACTCAACTGGTTACTGAATAGTCCACTGACATTAAAAGGAGCAGAAATTAAGAATATTTATGATCTACTGTACACAAGCAAGAACAATCTACTTGAATTATATACTGAGGCTAAATTCAGCATTTAGAATTAAATTTCCCATCAAGTTCAGTCTTTTATGCTCAATATTACAGCAGAAAATGACAGCACTTTTTTAGTCCCATTTAGCCACAGTGCAAAAATGTTATCTGATGCAGCAGAGGAGACCGTGCTCTTCCATATGCTGAAAGCAGTGGTGGCACAGCCTGACCGGAGCACAGGGACAGTGGTTTTCAACCTTCTCAACATGTCCTCAGTTGCCCCTCTTGGCATCTTCACATTTGGATGTTCCTCCCATCCTGTCCTCCATCACTTCCATCACTTACTATTGGAAGGACTTTTAAGAGCCCCAGGCTGAATCTGGTGCCAGGAACTTCAGCAAAATCAAAGTGCCTTAAAATGACATTAATGAAGTTCTGAGCTCCTTGTGTACAGGACAATGAATGGGAAGTTATAGCATTTAAATTACAATGCTGAGTGATTCTGAAACCGGTACAGAATTTAGGAGACAGGAATTGTTTAAAAAAAAAGCAATCATGAGTATGCTTTAGGAACTTTTCCATTACCCACTCAGGGCTGATCCATTAATTAAGTGAAAGGTCAGTCTCACCTGCTGAATTAAAAACAAGAGCTGCTGCATTCTCCTGAGGCTGCCAGCAGAGACAGAAGGAGAATTTCACCAGCACAGCTTCTTTCAATCCAGAGCTTTATAAAAGCTATGGAATATAGTGGCAGAAACTGGTTTTAGATAGCTCTCCATGGACCAAATGGATTTGATGCTGGCATGCTACTGAGATCAGAAGTAGTATTTTCAGAAGCACTCCAATGATTGATGGATCTCAGTCTTCCCTTCAAATATGACTTTCTTCTGAGGTCACTAAGCCATGGGTGAAGGCAATGCCAGCTACCCAGTTGGTAACACAGTCTTCTGAGGGAAACTGGTAATTGTGATTCACTCTATGAACTTCTTTCTGAATTTTGGAAGATTGTTACTTGAAGGGAAATTACAAAAGAAGGTACAGATGACCTTCTAAAAGCACAGAGTGGAAGTAGGAGAAATCTTAGATTGTAGAGTAACACAAACCTTTAGAGCTCTCATGAAACTTCCTGATTACTCAAGCCCTATGTATTACAATGGAGAAGGTATTCTAGGTTTAGACACTCACGTCAACCTCAGAAGTAACAGCATAGCTGTCCAATTAAGATTTAGGTGCTCTGCTGCTTTTAGTACAAGAAGAATGTTCTTATTGTTCATCATTATAATAGGAAGCTCTGTAATTTGGGCCAGAGCTGCTAACAGAGCTCAGACTTTGATCTTCCTAAATTCACAAACAGAAAAGCAGTACTGGTTAGGTTCTGGACCTGCTGGCAGTCATCAGGTTTGCAACAGAGTTCAGTGTCCTGCTATTCTGCTGACAATCAATTGATAGAATATAAAATTTAAATATTTAGAGCTCTATTAATTCAACTGAAATGATCTTATTGATCTTAATTGATGAAATTCTACAAGACTGTCACTGAAGAAGGAAATGAATTTTGTAGATTATAAATGGCTACCCAACAGTTCTGGGAGTCAGTACAGACGCAGTTTAAAAACAAGAAGACCAGATGATGGTGCAGTGCAGAATATGAAGAGCAGAGTAATGCATATTCATGTGTCCATTCCTCCTGAACAAGGCGGCTGTAGGCACATGGCAGACCCAAATCACTGGGCTTCCTCTCAGCAAACACAGTCCTTATGCACAGGTCTGGCTACTCTTTCCTGTGTGCATAGGAAAAAAAGACAAATGCTCCTGGAAGGCTGTCTGTAGTCCTATGACCACAGGTTGAGCTCCATCATGTTCCTCATTCCTAGCTAGCAATGTCTTGCCCACTCTATTTTCATGAAGTCCCACCTGTATCACCTATTTTCATTGACCTCTCTCCTGCACTCACAGATCCTATTAGTTTCTCCATGAACTGCACTGTCTTTTCTTTTTTCTTTTTCTTTTTTCTTTCTTCTGTTACTTGCCATCACACCAAATATGCCCCTCTAGCATCTTGCAGACACATCCCCTGGTCCAGCCCTGCTGCTCCCCTTGTGCCACTTTGTGACTCAAACTACCAGTAAGTTAAAATCTTTGGTTTGCTA